AATTAATCAAGGAGATTTACTTCCTTGATTAATTAAGGGATTTTCTTTCCTATTTTTTATATAAATGATAAATCATTGTACAATTAGGAGATATTTTCCTAATTCTTTACTATATCTAATTCCTTGTAAGACCCTCATGTAAATTCCTATATATATCTCCTTATGGAGAAGAATAAAATACAACCTAAAGTATTCAAACCATATTCATATTTTAGCATGTCCTACCTAATGTGTATGGTTATCTTTTTGGTTGTTTATTGCGCTTCGTTCTTGATATGAGTAGGGTGCAAGTTGGATTGAAAATTCCTATTGACGCCAATTTGGATTAATATGAGTAGGGTGCAATTTGGATTGGAAATTCCAATTGCCATCAATTTGGATCCAAAGATTTTCAACTTCGGCATGTCCAAATTAAATCCGATGTCCAAAAATTCCGAAAAGAATTGGATTGGAATGAAAATGTATCTCAAAATTCTGAATATTCCAGAAATATATTGTTGTTTCAAGTTTGGATTACTAAACTTTATGTTAAACTAAATATGGCATACCGCTTGGGATTGCTTCTATAAGAAGCACTTATGCTCATAACCATTTTTGTTTGAAGCAACTTTATTAGAAGAATGTTGAAATTTTTGTTAAAAATGCAAGTGCTTCTTAGAAAAGGGAGACTTTGGGAAAACCCAAAGGAGAGAGAAATTTTGTAAAAGAAGCCAAAATGGACAAATTTGCCCTTATTTAGTTTTGAATTTCCTAAGAAATCATTTACACTTGCATGTCTTTGATTTGAAAGTTGAAAGGTTTTTCTGTCCTTTTAAAAAAAGCTTTGGCTTATTCCAAAAGTGAAATTTTTTTTTATGGCTAAAACCTAAATTTACTCTTAGAAAAATACTTTGACGGGTGCTTCTCCAGAAAGGGCCCATAAGCAGTTTACATTTTTTCTGTCAAGCGCAGTAATAGACGCTTTTAATTGTTAGAAAGCACTTTTATCTCTTCCATAAACACTCCCAAATAAGCCCATAATGACCGAAGACAAGTTGTTCCACAAGAATAACATCTATAAATACTAACATATCAATAAAACGAACTGGAAGTAACCCTTGGCCGAGTTGGAGTTAATTGATATAAAACATCTAGTTTTATTTTCTGGGAGTAAGGAAGAAAAAAAGAAAAAGAAATAGGCTTTCAATTTCCTTGTAAAATATGGAAAGAATTCATCATAAGAAGATATTAGAAATGGACCTACCGGTACAAGGAGACTTGGGTTCGATACTCTAATTTCTACGTTAAGTCGTTTTACTTCTCTTAATTTTCTGATTGCATTTTTCTTTTAATCACAGACATCACTTTCTTAGTGCATATTGGATATCAAATTTGGGAAGCTGGCAATAAGGCCTACAAGGCAATCACAAAAGAAAAGTCACAGTGGCAATTGGATTGTCACCAATTTTGCCTAATTATTAAAATAGAACCCGGAATGAGCCTTACAAGGTATTCCCCAAATATTTATTTGACATATAGAATACTAAACCACATGCACCCTTTTCCATGGCGCCAATTATATGTCCAAGGGAAGTTGTTCCTGTTGCAACTTGCAATATATATGTTAGTTTGCTTGGTTGTTTATCTCCAACTGTGAATTAATGTTGGCCATAGTTATTGTCCAGTTGAAATTTTCATAAGTATATAGGATTATGTATAGAAGCTAAATGAGGACATGAATGTGTGAGAAACGCTGATGCTCATGATATGTATATATATGTCTTTGGTGTTGGTTCAGAGACGACCCGGCTGTCGTAGACTGGATAACATTGGAACAAACAAATTAGTAAAGAGGAAGAAACAATTTGAGGGACAAAACATTTAGGTTTTTTTTTTTAATAATTAAGTCCATTTTAACGGGACATATTATACAAAAATCCATATAGAATGTATTTGGAGATAAAAACTCAAAACTAGCCACTAATTATTTTTTAATTGATTATTAGTGTAAAAGCCGTGGAAAACAAAAAAATTACAACAATGTCCACGTCATCAACTAAAAGTATATACAAGCTCATATATGGAAAAATAATACAACTTACTTGGTGATTTACGACCCAGTTTGTGACTTTTCGGTTTTGATTTTCAGTTTTCATATTTTTTTGAAAGCGTACAGAGAAAATGTATTGGAGAAAGGAAGATATTCAGAAAGATGGACGAATGATGGTGCAAGAGAGGTAAAAGAAAATGTGTTCATAGAGTACTACATATAATGAAAACTACAACTGAAAACACTTTTTAAATTGTTTTCATATATTCCCGTAGAAAAAAAGTTTTTCTGCATAAATGGAGACAAAACTAATGTATCATATATAAATACTTGACTCGTGCTATCAATGTGATATTGGCCGGACTTCACAAAAGAAGAGACGATTCGGCATAGACTGGAAAATTGGAAGAGACAAATCAGTAAAGGGGAAGACCTTTTATTTCCCCTAGCTAACCATGACATGAGTACATATACCTACCTAGCCCTGAGGGTGTGCAAGTGGTGCCACCGCACAGGGCCCTGATTTTTTTTATGTGTATAATATATGTATAACAAATGTTATATATATACCGAGTGAGCAAATTGTTGACACAAAGATGTTTCTAGTTGTGTTGGTTTGCAGGGCCTCAACTTCTATTCAGGGCTCGACTTCAAAACCCGCTTGTGTTAAAGGCTTGTCCGATGTCAACACCAACATTCAATATCCCATCTACTTTCACAACCACATACTGAAATAATAAATACCCGATCACAAGGAATTAATCAGTAATTATGCTTAGACTGACCCCCCGCCCACCTCATATGTATTTTTCCAACTGCCGATAAGAACTTGAGAAAGGCCAAAAACAGTTGCTACTTGAGTCAGTGCATGCGTGTGTCACAGAAAAAAGTTTATTTGTAATTAGGATAAGTAGTAGGATTGTATTAGCTTAATCTAATACCATGTTTGGTGCTCATGAATAATGAATAATCTCGCCATAATTTTCATTATGTGTATTTTTGTAGGATAATTTATCCTATCAAAAAGGTGGAATACATAATCTCACTACTTCATCTATTTGACCTTAGACCCAAAATCTGAAAGCCGCGACACAAACCCAAGACAATAGTGCCAATGTTTATCTCTTTTATCTCCCCCATCCATGCGAGAGTGTAAATGTGTGTTGATACATTGGTTTTTTTTTTTTTTTTTTTCCTTCCCTTTTTTGTTACAAGCTATACATGAGTGAATTTTCAAACATACCACTTGAGCTACAAGCCTTTTGGGCTTAATTATATATTGTGACTCCATGATTCTTTGATGACTTAAATAACGAAGACTTGATAAGGCATAAAGTCATTTATTGATGAATTATATGAGACCTTGTGCGGTATACTACAAAGTTTACTTCACTGACAGGAGTCGTTTATTTTTTAACTTTTTGCCATGGTGTTTCAAGAAAATACAAAAATGACGCCCACGTAATTGAATGGTGAAATAGCTTCATATTTAAGTGGCTTTTTGCATAGATAATCTTTGAGGGAATACATAAAAATTAAATAGTTCGGATCATTGAAATACAATACGGAATGAGCCTTATAAGAGTGCCTCTCGAATAAGATAATTTAATAAATCCCTCACTTGAAGCTCCCTAATATGGTCACTCAAAAACCAAGAAGCTATTTTAGCGCACAATTGTATGGAAGATTCTTGAAAAGATAAGAACATAAGTTGACAAAGTAAGAGCCAAAAAAAGAAGAAGAAGTCTTCACAATAAATTCACAAGTCTTCGTCACTAAATTTCAGACTTTGAAAAGTCTTTCTAGTATCTTCTTTCATTTCACTTTTCTTTTCTTGATTACTGACTAATTCCTTTGTGATCGGGTATTTATTATTTCAGTTTGTGGTTGTGAAAGTAGCTGGGATATTGAATGTTGGTGTTGACATCGAACAAGCCCTTAACACAAGCAGGTTTTGAAGTCGTACCCTAAATAGAAGTTGAGGCCCTGCAAACCAACACAACAAGGAACGTCTTTGTGTCAACAATTTGCTCACTCGGTATATATATAACAATTATTAAACATATATTATACACATAAAAAAAATTGAGGCCCCTCAAAAATCATGGGCCCTGTGCGGTGGCACCACTTGCACACCCTCAGGACCACCCCCGAAGGTAGGTATATATTCATGTCATGGTTAGCTAGGGGAAATAAAAGGTCTTCCCCTTTACTGATTTGTCTCTTCCAATTTTCTAGTCTACGCCGAGTCGTCTCTTCTTTTGTGAAGTCCAGCCAATATCACATTGACAGCACGAGTCAAGTATTTATATATGATATATTTTTTGGTCGAAATTTATATATGATATATTAGTTTTGTCAATTTGGATTGATATGAGTAGGTTGCAAGTTAGATTGGAAATTCACATTGCCGCCAATTTGGATCCAAAGATTTTCAACTTTGGCACGTCAAAATTAAATCCGATGTCCAAAAATTCCAAAAAGAATTGGTTTGGAATGAAAATGTATCTCAAAATTCTAAATATTCCGGACTCCAAAATATATTGGTGTTTCAAGTTTGAATTACCAAACTTTATGCTAAACTAAATATGACATACCATTTGGGATTGCTTCTATAAGAAGTACTTATGCTCTTAACCTTTTTTGTTGGAAGCATTTATTAGAAGAACGTTGAAATTTTTGTTAAAAATGCAAGTGCTTCTTAGAAAAACACTTTGAGATACGAGTGCTTTTCCAAAAAGCACCCATAAGCGGTTTACATTTTTTTCTGTCAAGCACAGTCATAAACGCTTTTAATTGTTAGAAAAGCACTTTTATCTCTTTCCATAAACTCTCCCAAATAAGCCCATAATGACCAAAGACTAGTTGTTCCACAAGAGTAACATCTAAAATAAAATGAACTGGGAGCAACCCTTGGCTGAGTTGGAGTTAATTGATATAAAACATCTAGTTTTATTTTCTGGAAGTAAGGAAGAAAAATCCTATAAGAAATAGGCTTTCGATTTCCTTGTAAAATATGGAAAGAATTCATCAGAAGAAGATATACTTGGGGTTCGTAATCAGTCCAAAAAACAAAGTCTTGGTCAGTCAACGGAGGGAAACAGAACTCATTGCCCCTACTTATAAATTTCACGAACTTCCATTCAGTTTCTGCCTCACAGATCATCCCTATTTCTTGAAGGTTCTTCTACTCTTCTAATCTATCTATTCACTCCTATCCAACATACAAAAAGGCTAGTTATGGCTGGACAGCATCCTGAAGATGATGATTCGATCGTTTTCCTAAGGTTTGTTTCTTTTATACCGACATCATTTTAAGAGGATTTAACTGTATATTTTAAATCACAGCATTATCCTATTTGTTGTGTGAAAAGTTAGCAGTTATGTTTATTTGTAATTGTCACATATATTAAAATGATTATCTCTCTAAATTTATTTTATTTGTCTTTTTGTACTCTAATTGGGTTTGTAAGTCGTTTTACTTCTCTTAATTTTCTGATTGCATTTTTCTTTTAATCAGCATTACACCGGAAAATGCTGAAAGTGGAGGACTTAGAGCAAAGAAAAAATGGGAAACAAAACTTCTTTCAGATTCACTGTGGAATACGATCATTGTAATTTCATGTGTTATTGCAGTTTCCCTAGATCCCTTGTTCTTTTACATTCCATTCATTGATAAGGAAAAGAAATGTCTTGGAAAGGACAAAACGTTGAGGAATGTGGCTCTTATTTTGCGATCTCTCACAGACGTCACGTTCTTAGTGCATATTGGATATCAAATTTGGGAAGCTGGCAATAAGGCCTATAAGGCAATCACAAGAGGAAAAACAATGTTGAAAAATAATGAGATAATTCCATTTGCTAAGAAGTTTGCTGGGTATTTGTCATGGCTCTCTTTCTTAACTGACCTTCTCGCTGTTCTTCCCATGCCACAAGTAACAGTTTTTTCTTCTTCTTTTTTTGGTTGGAGATTATGAGCTAGGTTTGTCCAGCTTTAAATAATAGATTTCTAACCCATTACTGTTTATTATGTCAGATTTTAGTAGTATTGCTTTTCTTCAAATTAAAAGGGGAGGAATATTTGGAACACAGAAAGGTTTTGAACCTTTTTCTTCTCAGTCAGTATTTGCCGAGGATTTTTCGAATTATCTTATCATCCAAGAAACTTACAAAGACAGCTGGAATATGGGTCAAAGCCGTATTCAATTTTTTTCTGTACATTCTTGCCAGCCATGTAAGTTTTACTTTTTTCATTTAATAATTATTTTGGTACTAAAATGCTTGATGAACTTGAACTTCATTTACAATAAAAGTGACCATCTTTATCAACAACTGTTACCACATAATTAGATAATTGTTTTAATTTTCTGAATGCAATTAAGCTGAAAATGCACATCTCGCCACAAGAGTTTTCCTTAATGTATCATAGTGTTTGTTATGATGCTTATGTACTGGTTTAACTTTTAGGTACTTGGAGCCTTTTGGTATTTCTTTTCCATTCAACGAGAGACATCATGTTGGCACCAAGCTTGTACAAAGACAACAAATTATACAGGATGCATGAGTACCTTTTATTGTGATGATCACAGTACTTTAAGAAATATTACATTTTTCAATGAACGTTGTGGTGTAGAATTTCCAGGGGACACTAAGCCGCCATTTAATTATGGAATATTTCTTGATTCCCTTCAGAATGATGGTAACACGGGGGATATAGATTTTCCAACCAAGTTATGCTTCTCTTTTTGGTGGGGCTTGAGAAATCTAAGGTTTGCTTGCACGTACACCTTTAATTATTTGACAATTTCAGCATTTTCTTTTGTCTATATATTCAGACTAAACAAAAATTCGAAGTCATATTCTTATACCACTTATGTGGCATGTAAAAGCTTAACAAACAGCTGAAGAAGGAGAGTTAGATAACCAAATAAGTGTTTCTTCCACGAATCACTTTTAGTGTCACACATTTTGCTTGATCCTTTGCTTAATTTTTGCAGCAACTTTGGCACGAATCTCACAACAAGTAATTATGTGTGGGAAAACTTCTTTGCAATCATTATTTCTATCACTGGTGTGCTACTATTTGTATATCTCATCGGAAATGTGCAGGTTGGTAATGAATCTCTGTTAGATATCTATTTAGTTCACGTTTATTTTCCTTCGGCTTGAGGGGTGAGGATCATTGAGCTTCTAATTTACTGTTTGCGGTGAAATGTACGTACAGACATTCATTCAGTTGACAACCACAAAATCGGAGGAACTAAGGCAAAAGATTAAAAGAACAGAGATAGTGTGGGAAACATGGATGGACAAAAATCGTGTTCCTGAAGAATTGAAGAAAGAAATCAAGAAAAACATACATAAAAAATTGGAAAAAGACAAAGATGCCGATCTGGAGAATCTATTCGATCAAGAAAAACATATTCTGAAGCATCATCTTTGCAGGGATATTCTATCACAAGTGACTCTCTCTCTCTCTCTCTCTCTCTCTCATAAATTATCAACATTGAACTTGTATAGATGAATGAATCTTGTTTTGTGTTTAAATATTGATCACTGAAGAAAGTTGAGCTTCCAACCTCAAAATCAATTGACAATTAGAAGTGATCCAACTCTTTATTCTTAACTTTCGGATGTAGGGCAATGTAGGACAATTCTTTTTTATCCTGAGAGGCACTCTAAAATCACCCTTAAACTGTCTTATACACTCATCATTTGTGAGGAATACAGCGTGGGAGATGAGATTTGGAGTGCCAAAAGCATCGATGGATTAATTAATGTAAGCTAAACTACGTATAAATGCAGGTACAATTCCTTAAGGTTATGGATGAAAAAGTGCTGAAAATGATTTGCGACTATGCGACGCCAGTGACGTTCCCCGAAGATAAAATCATATTTCAAAGTGGGCACCCACTTGATCGCATGCTCTTCATTTTAGAAGGCACCGTCTTCACCTACAGCACAACTTCTGATCCTGGTCGTACAGGGGCCTCCCCATCAATTCCCACCAAGCAACTTGGGAGAGGGCAGGCTTATGGAGAAGAGCTTCTGATGTGGGCATCGCCCAACAAACCTACGGTTGACGTTCCTACCTCCACCGAATGTGTGAAATGTCATACAAAAGTAGAAGGCTTTGCTCTCTCAGCCAAGGACTTGATAAGTGTAGCCACCAAATGCCGACGCTGGTGGAACTTAAACAATGACCGTTGATTGATCTCCCACCTTCTACGCCCAACTCCACAAAAAAACTATCATCTGTTAAATGCTACTTCTTGTACTATATGCATAAAGGTTGTATCCTTCTTATTACCTCGTAATGTTACTATGATGACCTGAAAAATGATTTATTATGTATACATTTGTATGCTCATACCTCTGAGACTGCATCTAAATCAATCTTATGGCTTCTTCTGAAGCACAGATACATTTTTCTTTACTAATTCATCCAAGTTCTCTCGTTTGCTCGACAAATTCAAGCAACAGAAACTACAGAAGTAAGGGCAGTGCAATCAAATTAACCTATGGACTACCTAAACCTGCAGAGAGAACACACACATTTATAAGACACAATATGGAAGTAGAAATGTCTTCGAATAAGCTTTCCTCCCCTCTACTTACTCGCTGCTTTCAGACACAATATGGAAGAGCAGCAGAACCCCTTTTAACATCTCTTTAGTATATCACATCCATCTGCATACAGGAACTTTATATCAAGCAACAAGATCAACCTCATCACGTTCAGGGGAAGCCACATCTAATCTCATCATACTCCTATATTCATCCGGAACAGGTGCACCTGCCTGCACACATAGCTCCACCACAGTTGGAGCCTTGCCATAATACCTCTTTAGATTGTTATCCAGAGCAGAACAATTTACGTCTCGGACATGCCAAACATAGTTCAGACCCACAAGATCTTCTATTGTTGCTTCTTGCCATGCATGCAAACCATTACGAGATTGATGCTTCGATGCCTTGCACATCCTCACTTTGTGCCCCTTGGGACCCACCTGGACCTCTAAACAATATCCACAAGTCTTCACACTGTATTTGTCCATGATATTCTTTGCTCCGGATATCATCTCAAACCATGAGCCCATTGTAGTACTACTCAAATCGGTCAAAGATTTCCCCACTTTATCACTTGATTTATCTACACATTTAGTATGACTTAGTGAAGCTGAATTTCTCAATTCTTCCATATTAGTTCCTACATCAGGATCTACTAGGGTATCAACAATCCCAGGATATGAGTTTCTTTCCATTTCATCCATTTTGTTAACCATCTCAAAGTCCACAATTCTTCCTTCAATACAATATACAGGTCTCATTCTTCTCTTTGTTGGGTACTCGTCAATCTCGAGACCAGCCTGTATACAGAGCTCTAACTCTTGGTTTTCCAACACGATCATAAAGATGGAAGCATTTTGGAAAGGAAACCACATCTTGAACTCTTCCCTTCTTCCAAACATGTGAAGCACTCCGAAAACCACTATTTGGGCCAGTGCAAGTTCGGATTTCATGACCCGCATGGCCAATGTGAACTTCGGAACAAAACCTGAGATTAAAAGCCTTGTTTCAATAAGACAATCAATTAACAAGCTTAAGGGTTAGATATTCTGATCAGAATGAAACTCAGTAAATCAACCAATTACTACAAAAGGCAGATTAAGAATCATCATTATGTTAGCAATTCATATATTTGCAGTAAAATGTGCCCTATTTCTTTCCATAGGCTCTGATTATCTTCCCAAATTAGCTGTATATCCAACCGTCCATATTGGAAATTGCTTTGGCAAGTTGAATGCATCAAAGCAGTACACATACAACGTTGAGATTACAAGCCAGGAAGAGAATATGGACATCTTCAAAAGATATCCTGCCTACATAATCAACATAAGTCACTGCCAGTAACTAACTCTTAAAACCCTAAAAGGATATCAATCCTTAAGCCAAATAATTGACAAAAGAGATGCCCACAATGTACACAAACTTCACTCTTACAAGAGATTTGGACAAGAGAGGAACCACAATGTATAAGGACGAGTAAGTTTAGTTTACTAAGGTGAAACTGAAAATTAGAGTTGACATGTGAACTTGTAAGCAAACTGAAGGAATGAGCACAAGCAAACATAAATAAAAGAGGCAACCTCTGGCTACCTGCACTGTTGGACAGGAACAACTTGAAGAAGCTTTGACAAGCCAAACAGGACCGATTGTTGAGCTCGGTAAACTTGATGAGCCACCTCAACCAATTCAGGGACCAACAATCCATTATCAGGAGGTTCTTCAAGCATCCTACAAGGCTGGGCCTTTCGGGCTTCTTTCTCCTCCTTCGCTCTTTGAATCAAAACCTTCATGGGTGTAGGATAAGGCTTCCTCTTTGACATTTTTCTTGGAGGTCTTGGTACATCCGCATACAAAGGATCATCTGAATCACCTACTAAGGTAAGGGTTCTCTCCGATTCAAAACACGCCTTTTGATCAAGTCAACAATGAAATCTTGTAAAATTGCAAGTTTTCCATATTATTCTTCTCTGCATGCTGTGTGGAGATTCTGCACAATTACACAATTTGAAATAGAAATCAGAACTAAAGTAGATTTATTAACAGTGCTTTGGGCTATCAGGATCAATTAATTCCATCTTTCTAAACTGAAAATATAGTTCAATTCAATTGAAATACCTCTGATATTACAACTGATATTACTGAATGCATCATCTAAACAAAAAGATTGGCTAAGCATTTTCTGACAGAGGCGCCTTTTAATAGAAATAGGTGGTGGGAAGGAGGTAAAAATTCTATGGAGTGGTAGTGTGCTGGCAGTTACTTGGATGATTTGGATGGACAGAAACAGGAGCATATTTGAAGATTACTAGGAACTTGGGTTGTAGGAGTCATGAAACAGGTTTTTTTCCTCAATATCGGCTTCGATTTCCATTGAGTTTAGGCATATATCTTTGTCCATGATTTTATTAGACAGCAAAGAAGCTGTGAATTAGGTTGCCGTTAGCTAGTTTTGTAAGGTGCGCAATAGTTGTATTTATTTTCATTGTCCTCTTTCGCGGTGAACACCTTGTTCCCCTGTTGTATTGTCTGTTTTCTTAATAAAGGTTTCTGTATTCTATAAAACAACAAAAGAAATTGAGTCAGATTCTTTTGACACCTTAATGAAGCTCTCCCTAGCACTCTAATGGGAATTGATAATGTCAAAGCTAATTACAAACAGAGAGGAAAGTCCAGAAAGATAAAAGAAATTAGCTCTAAGGCAAAGAAGTGGGTAAGAGGGAGTAGCTTTGTGTTTCTTCAAACCAAATACAGCGACTGAGATTAGCATTCAGAGGGAAAAGAGAGATCGAACCAGGGCCCGCCAGGATCACAATTTTTCGGGCAAAAGCTTTGGCAAATTTTTTGTTCATTCAGTGAAAACATCTGTCAAAATTTCAGCGGCATCACATCTGTATTTATAACATTTTCTCAAATTTATACACTCAAAGCAAATGTTAGAAAAATTTTACAAACTTATTAGAAAACGCACTTGTGGGAGCAAATTTCGTCCCACTAGAATATTCGCCAAAGATTCCTTCGTCTTCTCTACTTCTCTTTCTCCCTGCAAAACAGATCGGGGTAAAAGGACCACACCCGGGGGGTGTTGGCCAAAGGCCCTCCGATGCCTAAGTTAGGTAGGGTATTTCAAGGAAAACCGGGTGGCCGGAGCTGTGTGTGGTGGCTGGAGCCTTGTGTCAGAGAGAGAAAGAAAGTGGTGGCTAGGGTTTGTGAGAAATAATTTCTGCAGAGTTTCAGTAGGAATTTAGACGTACCTTCACCTTTGTGCGTAGCCAAGTATTTATAATGGTCTCGGAGATTAGGGTTTCAGAGGAATAATTCCATAGATGAAAGGGAATTATTCCTCCCCTATTTGGAATTGATTTGATTAATTAGGGATTTGATTTATTAGGGTAAATCAAATCCCTAATCGTGGTAGGTATCAGATCAAATCCTAATTTAATTAGGTAACTCCTCATTTAATTGGGAATTGGGGTAGGAATCAAATCAATTCCCAACTTAATTAGGTAATTCTCAAGTGTAACTCCCAATTAGGTTGAGTAATTTCCAATTAGGTCAAATAATCCCCAAATGGAAGGAATTACTTGACCTAGGGTATGATTTAATTCGGTTCCCACAAATGCCCCCCAGCTTCTGCATGGCACGTGATGGCATGTAGGAGATGCGAATTGTCTGTTGGGCTGTCCAGCTATAACTGGGCTTCCTTCTTTAATTTGGGCTCCTGCGTGGAGGAGGCTTTTTACTTGCTAATTTTCTGAACACTTGACTGGAAAGTGTCTGAAATTCCTTGTAGGTCAAGGAATTTTGATCCTTATAAATATAGGGCTCCTTCAAATTATTTTCACGTCACAATCTGATCCTCCAATTTCGTCAGTGAGAGAGAAAACTTTGGAAAATTGCTTCAGCTGGCTTGAGACTTTGTCCTCGTCACACACCCAAGGTAATTTGTCTTGGGCAGCATATATATTTTTCCTTTTGTTCCGACTTTTGGCAGCAAGGAGGTGGTCCGTGCCTTGTGATTGGACTGGGGTACGATTGGAGGTCTGGAAGGCTGGCAGGATCAGGGTTTGCACGTGTTGGGCTCGAAGCAGGGGCATGGAGGCGCTGGACCAAGAGCTGGAGCAAGGGGGAATTGGGCCATCGAGCGACATGGGCTTGCGCTAGGCAAGCTGGCCACGTGCTCCAATTTGGAGCAGTCTGGCGCATCACCTGGGCCTCGCATGCGGAGCAGGCCTCGCTGGGCGCTCGAGCTGGGCAGGAGACTCGCACTGGGCTGGAGACGTGAGTTGGGCTGCGCGCGCTGGGCAGTTCATGCTGGGTTGCTTCCCTTTTTCTTTTTGTTTTCTTTTTTTTTTTTTTGCTGATGCTGTTTTTTTTTTTTTCTATTCACGAGCTAGGAATTTTAACCTGCAATTTCCTTTGTTATTCTTTGCAGCTACTCAACAACCATGTCTTCTGAAAGAAGGAGTCGATCACCAAGCTCGCAAGTACCCTTGTACCTATGGGGTGGCTCTCAAGTTCCCAAAGAGAAGTTTGTGGCCAATCTGCACCATGTCACCACCGAGGCCCAGTTCAAAACATGGCGTGCCCTTTTCGATTTCGCCATTCCCAAGGACGTACATGTCAAGTTAGCAGAGCCCTCGTCCGACAGTGTACCACGGGTGGATTCGAACAATCCAAGTGCCAGGATCATCACGTTCCGCCCTTTCTATTTCTTGCTAGGCTTCACATTTCCGATGTCGAAATTTTTCAGGGATGTGCTTTGCGCCATGGAGTGTGCCCCGAGCCAGTGTACTCCAAACGTTTATCGAGCGGTCATCTGCTTTGAAAATTTGAGTCACTTCTTCAAGCTAGATTTGATAGTGCAGGAATT